TCTCCTTCCAACCTCACGACAGACTAGGGGGATGTGGCCCTTTGCTTCCATCCCGTGGTATTTTGCTCTGTAAGGTGGCCTATCAGTGCCCACCCCGTAGGGTCTGCTAGCATAAGGACAATGTTACTTAGCAGACCTTTGACTTCCTATCAAATGTGCCCCAACACATTGTTAGAAGGCTTGCCCATTTTGATTAGTTTCTCTGAACATCCTGAGGCTAATGACACCGTCACCAACTGAGGGCAGGTTCCCCACACCCCGGGCGAGACAGATGCCGCAGCCCTGATATTTCCCTGTATTACAGGGGAGAAAACTGAGGCCCAGGGAGTGAGGCCACTTGTTCGGGGTCCATCGCTCGACTGGGAGGGAGCAGGACCCACCCGCGGCACCTTCCCCGGTGCCCATGTGCTCCTCACTGCGTGCGGCTGACAGTTATTCAAATGGCACTTAGCACATCCTGAGCGCTTCAAAAATGTTTCTGAAACCTCCCACCGTGCAGCCCCTTCAAACCCCAGGATGAGACGGGGAGGCAGGGGTCTGGGAACCCAAACACCAACACGGCGCAAAGCGGTACTTGATCACCGAAGAAAATGCCAGAAACGCAGACGGCAGGATCCCCAGGTCAGACATTTAAATGTTAAAGTGTATTTCTGAGCATTCTCCTCAGACTGCCCCCATCCCTGCCCTGCCTGCAACCTTCATGTAGCAGGTGAGGTTCCTTTCAAAGTCAAGTTTGAGGAGCACAGACGGCACCTTTTGGAACTCAGTTTCCACACCTGTGAAATGGCAACATTAGGACTCATCTCAGAAGGTTGGGGAGATCGGAGTTCTGGAGGTAATGTGTGTGAGGACTGTGTTAATGTTAGCAGTCGCAATGGACGGTAGAACCTTCTACAAGTTCACTGACAGCAACGGTACACACACACATATGTATGCACACACACGGGAGTGGGCAAAAGCAGGCTTCCAGCCATAATGCAATAATTGATAAGTAGTGTAAGAATAAACTGTGTTTCATGTACTCACAACTGCAAACCTGCTTTTGCCCACCCCGCAGTTCAGGCAGGAGAGGCCCCTGGAGTGCACATAGTGGGACCACAGCAGGCCTGTTGGGCTGCAGGGTCGCACCTGAATCTGCATCTCCTCCAGCCAGCAGCTTAACCTTTCTGTGTCCCAGCTTCCCTCTGTGAGGTGTGGGGCGATCGAGGTGTCTCCCCCCGGATGTGGGCAGATCAGCGGGCATGGACAGGGGTCAGACAGCGCCTGTGCATAGTGGTCTCTCAACACAGTGACTGATGGATTTGGACCTGTGTGTGGAAGGGCCCAAAAAGGGGTGCATGACTTAGCTCCTGGCATTTTGGAGTACAATTGAGCTCATTTGTTAAAAATTAAAGATACATTCTCCCTAGAACTCACTCTTTGGCTTCTTTGTAACTGTCCCCCACACACGGTAGATAGGTAGATAAACTACTGATGCACAGCAGTGTCGATAGCAACCCTGCAACACTAAGGCCAGCAATTTGGAGCCAGCCTCCAGGTGTCCATCTGTGTGGGGCCGGTTCAACATCACTGGTATGGGCACGGGCTGGAATACTACGCAGTTCCATAAAGGAACTAGGGGCTCTCGATGGAGCCATCTCCAAGAGCAAGGTCTGGACCAGGTTCCTCCTCCCACTGCATCCCAGGAACACCCTCTTGGAGACAATCATAAATGTCCCCTGACATTGCCCTGTGTCCCCTGGGGACAGGACCACCCCTAGTTGAGAACCCCTGCTGTAGACTCAGCCAGAGGACTCAAGATCTCATTTGAGATTAACAAAAAAAAAAAAAAAGAACACTCATGTATCCTCTATGAGATAAAAACTACCCTTTATAAGAATATACATGTGTCCTTTATAAGAATGTGTATCTGTCCCACCTGCAGTTGCTAAGACAAAGCTGGATGACAACAGGACCCCCCTGGACTGGAGCCCCACCAAGGTGGGGGTGATGAGGAAGGTGCCATTTTCACTTGTATACTCTCCTTAGATGTCCATGAATAGTTTGTGTAATTAAAAAGTAAACTTTGAAAAGATGAGAGGCATTCACAGAGTAGCTCAGGCAGGGACGACAGGAGCCCAAGTAATAGGAGCCCCAGTGGCAACACCACAGTGGCCACACCCAGAGAATCAGGCTGCCGAATGCTCGGTCCTGACCGTGCCCCCCGCCCCCCCCATGCACTCCAGGGAGCGTCCTGTGCGTTTCCATTTTGTGGATGAGGAACTGAGGCTCCTCTGTCGTGGGAAGTAAAGGTGGGACATGACACTAGGGCAGGTGCAGTCACAGATACACACACACAGTGACACATGACACACAGGTCTCAGGTGCACACAGGCACACACAACCATGCCGGCACAGACACAGACTTTCACACACATGGGCTCAGGTATCAACATGCAGATCTGACATGACACACACAGTGACATAATAGAGAAACACATGAAGACAGCCCACAGACACACACTCAGACACACAGATGTGTATACACATACAGACCCACACACTGACACACCCACACAAGTGCACACACAGTCCCAAACACAACACAGGTACATTCACCCACAATCACATAATCACGCCCAAACACGACGTATGCTTACCAGCAGCACACACACCCACAACAGAATCCAGTACTCACGCACACACACACATGCATGCAGTAGCACACGGCACAGCACACCCCACTCCTCCCCCTGGCAGTCCCCACCACCTCCCCCCCCCCGTCCTCCTTCTCCCGCCAGTGGAGGTGTCTGTGTGTGTGAGTGTGGGTCCATGTGGTTGTGTGTACACCAGTGTGTGCAGGGACTTATGTACCTGTGTGGCTGTGACCAAGCACTTCTTGAGGGTGTCTCACAGGTGTATGCTTGTGAACACACTGTGGACCCCTGGACACCTGGAGAAAGTGGGGATGGGTGAGTGTGGTGCAGGGCAGACCATGGACATGTGGCTGCACAGGGGTGTGCAGGGCAGGGCTGAGTGCTGGCAGCTGGCATGGGGAAGGGCCTCAGTGAGGCTGAAGGGGCTGATGGGAGCATGCAACCCTGAGCGCTGTGTGTATGTACCCGTGTCAACGTGGAGCCCCTTTTCCTCCCCTTCCCAAACAGCCCCTCCAAAATGGCTTGCAGGTTTTAAGTAAAAAGCAGAGACTTGGCCTAGCCTTAGGGCTTTCCTATTTGGAAAATTATATAAAGGCCGTGGGGTGGGGGTGGGGGGGTACAGCAGGGATTCCCCTGGAGGGTAGAAAATAACACTTTGGACCTTCCACCCCTGGCCTGGTCCTCCGCAAGAGCTGGGAGGCAGGGCTGAAGGAGACGGCCCCCAGCCTGGAAGGTGAGAGGGTCTCCTTGGCCACCGCCTGGGCCCAGATAGCTCCTGCGCTTCAGTAACCAACCCTCCCTCAAAACCTAGGCCAAAAGAGAGGTGGGGACCCCTGTCGCCCTGCCCACCTCTGGGGCTGGTCCCTGTGCACGCGCGGTTCCTGGCAGGCGACATCGCTGCCACCCAATGATTGAGTCCCAGTGCCACCTCGAGCCTAAAACGCAAACCAGGACCACCTGGGTCCACGCCCATGGGGACCTCGAGGCAGGGAGGCAGTGGGAGGGATGGGTTGGGGTGAGATGAGGGAACAGGGTTTTGGCAAGGTAGAGGAAATACCAGCCCCCCACCCAGAAGCTCTGTGGCAGGAAAAAAGGAACTGGAGGGTCCAGGGGGAAAGTGTAGACCCATCCCCAAGACAGTCATTCAGTGCCAGTCACCTGCACAGAGAGACACCTAACTGTCCCCTGGGACGCAGACACACGACACCGTTCCTCACTCACCCACAACCCCCTAACCGTCACACACACGGGAACACCCCACACGGTCACCCAGGGACATCACGGCCCCCAGGGACATACAACGCAGCCACACAGCTTCACAGCACCATTACACAGGGACACACGGCACAGTTGCCCAGTTACCCAAAGACACACGCACACTGTCCCAGAGAAGCACAATGCTCTTACACACGCAACACAACACACTCAGCCACGTGGATGCACAGACACATAAAGGAAAGGACCCGACATATAGGAACCCACATACCCACGGACAGGGACGAAACCACCTAGCTGCACAGACCCGAGAACGCATCCCCGCATTCCCATGCTGACCCGTTACGAAGCTCTGGAGCCCCCAAATGCACCCCTACAGCGCAGATGCCACCGATACCCGGAGACCAGACACCAGAATCCTCAAGTGCAAGCACCTAGGCTTGCCGGCCTGGGGCGCTCGGGGCCGAGACCTGGTGACCCCTCCCGGGTGAGACCCGGTGTGGCCGCGGCCCGGCTGGGGTCAGCCTGTGGGCGGGGCTCAGACGGCGTGAGGGCAGGCCGTGGGGGCTGCCCTTGCGTGGCGCCAAGCGCCGCCGCCCGCCGGACTCCAAGTTCAAGGCGCCCGGCGGCGACCGTGGCGCGCTCTCCGCCCCTCTCCGCAGCGGCCATTTTCCGCTAGCTGGCTCGCCGCGCTCACCCGGGCCGGGGCACCCCCGGGGGCCACCGCGACTCCTGCCCAACCGGGCGACCCCTCCCCGGCTTCGCTCCCCGGTGGGCTGCGCGTTTCGGGGTCGTGCGCCCAGGGCTTCGTCCCTCCCTCCTCCCCTCCGTGCCGGACAGGGGGCGGGGGCCCGGCCTGGTTGAGGGGCACCCTCTCCCGGGAGCCCCGCCCTCCCCGCCAATTCCGCGGCGCCCACGAGGGGCCCCCCACTTGGGATCCCCCGCTGCGCCCTGCGCGCCAGCTCCGCCCCCAGCCGCGAGGGGGGGCATCGGCGGGCGGGGGTCCTGCGGCGGCGGGCGGAAGGGGGTGTCCCCGCATCGAACCCTTCCTTGGGGCGGCCCCCCCAAGACCTGGCAACTTTCGCGCGGAGCCCACGCACCACCCCAAAAACTCCCCAGGCGAAAACGAAAGTGGGGGCGGCGACGTACCATGGCGCTGCTGCGAGGAGGCGAGGCCGGCGCCGGAGCGAGCGCGCTCGGTCCCCGGCGAGGGGGGGCTGGAGGCGGCGGGAGGAGGCGGTGAGGGAGGGCGCTCGTGGGAGGGAGCGAGCGCGCCAGGGAGGGGGCGCGCCGCGCCCGCCCCCCGGGTCCGTAGGACCCTCCCCTCGGCCCGCCTTCCCCGGCCCCGCGCACCGCCCGCTTCTCAGGCCGCTGGACTCCCGGGCCCGGTCTGCGGTAGCTCCATCCCCGGTCCGACCCGCGCCAGCGGAGGCCGGGCCAGCGGCCGCAGCGGCGGGTCGTGGGGCCTGGGGAGGGCTCGCGGCGGACTGAGCGGATCCACCTTCTCCGCGGCGCGCGCGCGCTCACACACGCGCACACACACACGCAGAGGGCTGAGGACACTAGCGGCCCGGGCCTCCTTCCCTCTGACTGGGTTACCACACACACTGACGCGCGCAGACCAGCACACCAGGTGCTTGCAACGTGTTACAGACACAGCCTGCGGGTGTCATCCAGACACACGAGGACCCACGCGCACAGCCTATACTGTGTCTAGGATGCACACCTCTTGCAGAATGCCACCAACACCGACAGCCTGCGAGTGTCACCCAGACAGACACGGGGCCCGCATGCTCACAGCCTTCGGGGTGTCACCTAGACACCCAGAGCCTGACTTGGACTCACAGCCTGAAGGGTGTCACGCCGACAACAGAGACTGACAGTCATGGAAAGACACTCCAGACCTGGGACTGACCCACAACTGATCCCCAGGACCCCTCCCCCAGGCCTTCGCTCCAGGCACTCTGGCCCGTGAGTGCAGGTGTACGGGATACACATAGCCACAAACACGTACAGTGGGGAGACGGGACAGATGGGGACACAGACAGACTCAGAGGAGGCGCGACAGACCTGGGGGTAGGGGTCCCCTGGGGGTCACGCAGGGGCTTCAGGCGGGTCGGGGGGCAGGGAGCGCTCTCGGCCGCTCCATAGGTGGAGGAGGGGATCGGGAGCCCCCTCCCTAGTCAGGAGTAATGGCGAAGTCCCCGCAGCGGGGGAGGGTACCGACGGAGGAGGGTCAGCGCCCCCACCACTGCCGTTTGGGCGGCTGCGGGCTAGGAGGCGGTGCCGCAGCGCCCCCCCCCCCAACCTCTGCGCTCTCCCGCAGTCCTCCCTTCTCAAGCAGCCGCAGAGTAGGCACCGCCCCCTTCCCCCTCCCCGCTCTGCGTCTGGCGCAGTCAGGGAAAGGTAGGAGGGGGGCTTTCCCGGGCCTGGTGGGATGGAGAAGATTCCCTATAGTATATGTCTTGGTTCCTCCCTGCCTGTGACCCCAGTTCCCTCCAGGAATTTATGGACCCCTTTGAGGAAGTAGTTCACAGCTCTCCTATGGAGAGCACCAGGATTTAGGGTGGGGCAGGTAGCACCCCAAGAGAAGAAAATCGGACCCTAGACTACCATTTTGGAGCCATGGCTGACTCTGGGGGCTTCTGATAGGTGATTCTGTGATTCTGTGTGCGATGCTGCCCGCCCCTGCCACCCCCCCCCCACCTGGGAAGGGGAAATCAAAGATTAATAGGGTGACCACAGCCTTGCCGACGTAGTAGATGCTCACGAAGTATGAACTCCGCGTAGCCTATCTCAGCCTCCAGGGGTGGTCACTCTGACACGAGGTTTTCTGTTTCATCTGCACATTCTTCTGGGCATTTTTCAGAAAAGTGAGGCCCAGAGAGGGAAACTCATTTTCTTTGGGTCAGCCAGCAGGCCTTCTTTAGGATCCTCCACAGGCGGGAGTGGGAAAAGTTCTGGAAGCAGCCTCCCCTCTCCTAAACCTGAAGTCAAAGAAAGCAGGGGGGGGGGGGTGCTCCAGCACTGGCCCTGACAAGGGAAGGGTTAAAAGGATAGAGACCCCCCTCCGCTCGCTCAGTGCAACTCTAATCTGCCCAGTTAATCCCCAGCTGGAATCCTCTGTCCCACCCCCTGCCTCCGGGAATTAGGTACCTGGGAAGAGAGAAGGGGAGGGGAGACATAAATGAACAGCAGTCAGGCAGGGATTGGGGTCCGAAGCGAGGGAGGGCACAGAAGCAGCCCTCCACCCATCCTTTCCCCTGGAGGCTGCCGCTGGGCCTGCAGACATAGTGCTAAACACTTTACACAGCCTCCTCATTCACTCCTCATACCCCTCTGAGGTGGTGCTGTTACCCCCACCCCCATTTCACAAATTAAGGACACAGTCTCAGAAAGGTATAGACACTTGCTCAAGTTCACCTGGTAAGTTATGATGGTTTCCTGACAGTGGATCTCCTGATTTTGGCTTCTTTTGCGATCCCAAATCATCAAATCCGGCTTTCTATTTGCTTAACAGTTCTTCCCGCCTGCATTTTACTCTGAGCAGCAAGAAGGAACCAGGGAATGCCCCTCTGCTAAATATCTAACTTTATCACTTACTTATAAGTTCTGCTTCCGGTACAACTATGAGACACAGCTCAGCTAAATTTCTGCCTCTCTATAATAAGGATCCCTTTTCCTCCAGATGTGTTGGCCTTCAAATTTTAGAACATTCCCAGAAGACAGACTGATTAACAAACATATATTTTAAAAGTTCGGCTTACAGAGAGCAAAGAAATGATAACAAAAAATAAGAACATACCATGCTCTGGCACTTATTAAAATGGGTAAAGATTTAAAAATTAATAAAACCCAGTGCTGGTGAGAATGTGGTGAAACAGGCATTTTCATAAATTGCGTGGCTGTAACTTTATGGATTAGGAAAGCAGTTTGGCAAGTATGGTGGGGGTCTGAAACAAGTTCAGACAAGTTCAACTTCTAGGAATCTATCCTGAACTTGGGAAAAGGTATATAGGCTCTTAAACATCTTCATTGCCATATACTTGTGAAAATTGCTATAAATCAGTGTCTTTCAACCCTTTTTCATATCACTCCCCTCAGAGCAGTTTTAGACACTTTTTCCTAATCACCCCTTATGCAATTTTAATACCACAGGTATACTGCATACGGTTAACATACTGTATGTCTATCTGTGTTTGTACATTAAAAGGGTACTTATTTTTATTCAGCAAGAACAAGTTTTTGCCCCAGTTGAAAATGTATGCTATGAATAATGGTATAGCCTTCTGAGGAAATGGCAGTCTTTAAAAAGAATGAAGTTCCAATAAGAAAAAGACAACTATTCAAGAGGAAAATGTGCAAAAAGTAGGAACAGGCGTACTGTGAATAATGAAACCTGGGAGGCCCACAGGTGCATGCAGAGATGTCCAATGTCTTTAAGGATCAAACAAATGCACAACGAGGACACATCAAGGCCCCATCTTATCCCTATACCATTGCACCAAATTTAAAATGTCCAACAACAACATATGTTGGAGGGACTGCAAATACATAGAGCTTTTCCACATTGCAACCACTTTGGGAAACAGACTAACATTAATCACAATGCTGAACATTCATGTGTCACATAATCCAGTCTTTCCTCTCCCAGATACATGGTCACGAGACCCTTGCTTGTTGCCTCAGAAAACGTGCCCAGAATGTTCATCACTGTACTGTGAGGAAGACCAAAACCCAGAAACAATCCTAATGCCCATTGCTGAGAAAATGGGGAGATGCACTGTGGGAAATTCACTCAAGGGTCTGTTAATCAGCAGCCACAGCAGTGTTCCCAGCTACAGCAAACAGCATGGATGGATTCAGCAACATAACATTGAGTGGAACAAGAAGCTCCCAAATATTTCACACAGCATGATGCTCTTTTTATGAAGTTATAGTAACCAAAGTGAAACAACATTTTGGGGGGAAATAATCTATTTGAGATACAGTTGTTTTCAAGCAAGGAAAGGATAAATTCCAGATTCAGTAGCATAATTAACTTTGGGGAGAGAAGCAGAGAGAGCAGAATGAGGAAAAAGGATTTGGGGGTGTAAGTTATTGCTAAATTTCTGTTTATGCCAGTGATGTTGAGTTTGGGGGTACTTATTCTATTGGCAAACTTTTACACTTACTGATAAATGGAACAATGATGAAAGCCAGTTGTGAATCAGGCTGGGGTTATATTCATTCCAGCATCCGAAGCCCAAAGAAATAGCTAAATCATTAACTCATTTCCTGAGAGCAGACTGTTGGCTCCATGATGGGGGATGGTGGGGGACAGTTTTGTTCACAGCTGGGTCCAGGACACTGAAAACAGTGCCTGGTACATAGTAGATGCTCAGTAAATATTTGTGGAATTAATGAAAATCTCAGAGGGACCAAAGGCTTTGTAAGTACCATTTAAAAAGAATCATATATGTGTACATATGTATTATGTATGCACATAAAATGTATCATATAAAGTATATGTGTGTTAAGTATATATTAAGTATGACATGTAGGATATAGACATATATAAATGTGCACATGTTAGATCTACAATGTGTATTATATATTACATTTATATATACTATATTTGGATGTATTGCATATAATATATATGTAAACAAACGCATGTAAAAGAATCACACGCACACGCCAGGCTTCCTCAAAGACAGCACTGGTGTGAACTCGTCTCCAACATGCTTTGTTTTGGAGAGGGAAGAAAACAGAAAACCTGAATCACTGAACAGTAAAGACATGTTTCCAACATTTGCATAAGAAGAACACAAACAAAGCCACGCAGTGCAAAGGGGCAGACATCTAGCCCCATTTTGTGGATGGGGGAACCGAGGCTCAGAGTTACTCACTCACTACCCAAAGTTACTTCCTGCACCACTCCGCCTTTGGAGCACACAAGCCGAGAGGGACAGTAAGTAAAGGGATGGGTGTGGCTGTGTGTCCATCACATTCTTTCCTGTCTGGTTTCTTCCACTTAGTATAATTGTTTTGCGGTTCATCCACGTTGCCGCATGTTCCAATGGTTCATGTTTTTTTATGGCTGCCTAGTATGGCACCCATACTGCTACAGCTAAGGCGGTTCTGGGCCTCCTTCACAACCTTTGTAGGAACACTTGCTCTCCTTCCTCGGAAGTGAATGTCCGGGAGTGGAATGGCTCATACGCTAAGTGCATTTATGCAAAAGCCTCTGCATGACTATAGCCTTCCATTCCTCTTGGGTAAAGACCTAGGAGTAAAAGGTTGGATCCCGTGGTAGGTGTGTGTTAAACTTTTTAAGAACCTGTCAGACTGTTTTCCAAGGTGGTTGCACCATTTGACACGCCCACCAGCAGAGACCGGGAGTTCCAGCTGCCCCACTTCCGGGGGCTGAGGCTGAAATCCTGCGGGTGAGTGATGGGAAGTGTGCCAATCAGATGGCAGTGGGGGTGAGGTAGTGGGCCAAGTGAGGAATAAATCCAGCAGGAGCGTTATTTTGCCGCAGAGCCTTGCCGGCCACACTTCCCAGGCCTAGTGGGAAGGAGCGGCTCTGTGGGGCAGAGCCACCACACCTGG